ATTCTATCCATCCTCCAACACGTTGTTTGCCTAGAATAAATACGAAAACACAAATACTTGATAAACAACATTAGGAGTAAATTGTTTGTTAAACATCATCAAAACAAGAAGGCCAACACTAGTCTCTCAAATTATTCTAAGTTTTAGCTTGGAACAAGTTGGTAAAAAACTAAAACTTATATTTTTTTTGTTATTTTTTATTGTTTATATTTCTTTTTTTTCTTTACTTCTTTCCTATTATGGTTATCATCATCATTAGACCATCATTATAATAATAATTGTCAATACCTTATAGTCTAACCAAAAGTTATTTAATAGTAAAGAATATTCTTGTAAGCAATTATCGATAATAGTAAGTTTAAAATACATAAATAGTATTTGTATCTTCAAAATGCATAAATATATATTTCATGATTATAAAAATTTATCCCACGTTTTTTTATCAAAATATTCTGCTTCACAAAATTGTTCCTATTTATCCCACTAAAATATCCACTAGTAAAAAATTATTCTACTTTAACAATTATCTCATTTTGCATGAAAATGTCTCAATTGACTAACACCCCCTAAGGTTACACCAACCAATAACCAACCCCCCTCCACCCGCTACCCAGGGTATAAGATGAGAACGTATCACTATTTTACGAAGAATGGAAGCTAAATCTAGCAAATTTTCATTTAAACATATTTTATTCTCATTTAAAACTTTTCATGATAATAGGTCAATTTCCAAATGGATCAAAGTTCTACTATTTACATATTTAGAGAGTAGAGAAAAGGGTAAATTGCATTTATTCCTCCTAATATTTCAAAGAGTGGCATTTAATCCTCTTCAACCTTTATTTCCTCATCACTTATTCCCTCAGTCTTTCTACTTATTGCATTTATCCCTACCGAGACACATTTAGGACAAAATTTTCCTTAAGTTGTTTATTTATCCTTTTGGAATCCATAACATGGATATATAAATTCAGCCATTTTTTGTAATTATCTTATATTCTCGTGTGTATTCATGCTAATATGGATTATATATTCTCTCACTTTTCTTTTATTTCTAGTCCATTAGAATATATTTATTTTCTAATTTCAGGAATATTCTGTCATACAAATTGCAAAGATTTGTTCAAAAGTGGTTCTTGGCATGAATATATCATATAAATTGATAAAGTCTGGCTCAATAAATTTTATTTTATATAACATCTCTTGTATTACATGGTCTATATATATATTTTTCCTATCTTATTCGTTTTCTCATATCTGTTTTTTAGCATATAATTATTTGTTACTCTTTAATATAACAAAGGGTTACACCCACGTGCCCACATCAAAAATTGGCTTCTTCATCCTCTATATTCCCCTTATTAACCAATCATTCGTTAGGATTCTAATCCTCTCCAACTAAATGGTAAGTGGACTGGATCCAATTCTTTTCATGCTCACCATCAATTTCAATAATTTCATGAGATAAAATACCATCATGTAGGATTTAACAATCAAGCTAGTGGGTTCCCCAATTGCGCTATAATTTTGATGAGTATACCCGAATACCACTATAATTTTAATGAGTGTAGTTTTATTTATAATAATATCAAGTATTTCTAAAAACTAATTAAAATCCAAAATAATTATATCCTTGCCCCTCTAATTACACAGTAATCCTCTAATTAGGCGGTTAAAATACATGTCAAAATATTCTAAAAACTATATAAATTATGATACTTTTGAGAAAGATGACAAACGCATTGTGTTACTTTTATCGAATGGCTGCAATATATTGTATTGATCGATTTTTTTTCTTGGTACAAGACATAATCATACTTGTTAAGAAATTAAATTTAAAAACTAGAAGAGGTAACTAATAATTTGTCCCTTAATTGGAGAGTTGTTTTTTTATTTTTAATTAGTTTTTTAGAAATATTTGATATTTATCATAAATAAAATTATAGTTACAAAATAACTAACTTGATCGTCGAAATCTAACATTATGATACTTTACCCTTTGAAGTTGAAATTGATGGTGAAGATTGAAATAATTAGATTCTCTTCAATTATCACCTAGGAATCTAAATCCCATTTGTTGTGTTACCCCAAAATGCACAGAACTAAATTCATTAGGGCAATGTTTACCATTTTGAGTTGTTCCCTTTCCAAATTTGTCACCTTTCCTCAACTTCTTCCTTCCCACCAATCGAACGTCCCTTCAAACATGGACATAAATACTCATCCCTTCTCTTCCCTCTCTTTCATAAAAAAATAAACCAGAACAAAGAAACAAAAAGCACAAAGTTAAAGAAAAGAAAAGAAAATTGTTTGAAAAGACTCATCTGCGGCGTCCGACCGCTCCAACATATTGAAGGCCCATTAACTCCCCGGCCCACTAAAGACCGATACCATGATGTACCATTGCCACCTCAATCACCTACAGGATCTCTAACTAGCAGTTTGAGTAGTTTGAGCAGTCGCTACGCATCTGCTCTTGACCTACAGGCACTTGATAATACTAATACTATTATTAATGATAATGGTGATGAGATTAAAAATAATGGCGATGAAGACGCAAATTTGATTGATATGCAGGCTGAGGAGTACATTAGCAAGTTTTATGAGGAGATGAAGCTGCAACGGATGGAATCGAACTGGGGTTATGGTTACATCCGGAATTTGGGTTTAGTGATGTCATGATACTCAGAATTATTGGGGTAATGGCCCCCCGCCCCCCCGGCCCGCCCCCCGCGCCTTCTCTTCTTTCCTTTTTGGCACTTTGTTTTATATGTTGAGTGTTGGGGCTGCGTGCATGCGTGAATGCATTCCCCCAGGTTCTCCAAAGTTAAGCTATCAGCACATTATTAATATCGTGTGATCCTCATGTTTGAGAAATGAGGAGTTATGTCTGATTGATAGGTCTATACGTGATAGTTGTTGAAATTCTTTTGAAATAATATCCAAACTTTGATTTTATTTATTTATTTATTTATTTATTTTGCATTGATGTATTATTATATGGTCATAGCAATATGTTATACGTATTAATTCTTTCTTCCGGTTGTTGTGGTTGCTCTGGTCTTTATTATGGAACTAATTTATTTCAATTCTTTGTTTTCTGCTTAATAATGAAAGATTTTTTTTTCTCAATTTAAAGATGGGATGAGAAGTTGAGCAACTGAGATTTTTCATTTGATGTCGTTCTACAGTGAGGATTCAGGATGAGAGCGGTTTATAAATCTGAATAATTTCATGTTCGAGTTTTATACTATGTTTATTCAATGAAAACAATAAAGCCATGATGGGACCTATTATAAAGCTCAATTGTTCAAATTCTTTTAGACGACTCGAAATTTGAAGAAGAACAAATTTTCACTGTAGCCACATTTTGAATTTTTATTAGCAAAATCGACTGTATCATGTTTTATTTAATGAAATCGACCCGTTTTCTCGCCACGTCAGCGTCATGGCGAGAAAGCGGGTCGATTTTTTTTTAATCGGCTTCGTAAACAGTCAGGGTTGCCAACCCCGACTGTTTAGTCCATCGCCCGCTAAGAGGTTAACTAAATGGTCGGGGTTGGGAACCCCGACCATTTCGTAACAAACCTATTTCGAAATGGTCGGGGTTCCCAACCCCGACCATTTAGCAGAGCCCAGCGCTAGCTGGGCTGAACCACGGACAAAATGGTCGGGGTTGGCAACCCCGACCATTTAGCAGAGCCAGCATCAGCGACGAAATGGTCGGGGTTGCCAACCCCAACCATTTAGCAGAGCCCAGCAAGCATCAGCGACGAAATGGTCGGGGTTGCCAACCCCGACCATTTAGCAGAGCCCAGCAACCATCAGCGACGAAATGGTCGGGGTTGCCAACCCCGACCATTTTGCAGACCCCATTCCAGCCCCCATTTACCTGAAAAACTCATACTTCCTGTAGTACAAAATGTAATCACAAATAACACATGCTAAAATGCAATCATACTCCTGTTATCAATCCACAATACAATCACAAACACAAATATAATACATACAATTCATATTCGCAAACTTAACATTATATCAAATCCATCGCAACACAAACAACATATCAAGTCCAAATTGCAACTCAAACGCAAACATCCTCTCAAGTCCATCGAAACTTAACAAATATCAACAACGCCCTTTCCCCTCCCTCTTCCTCTCCCTCTCCCTCTCCCTCTTCTTCCTCTCCCCCTTCCTCGATCACCTTCGACGTGAGCTTGGATAAGTTCCTCGTCCGGTTGTGTGTGAAGTTGGGAGTGCATGACATCCGCGTCGCCTCGAACCGCCTGTGAACATCCGGCCTGAGTCTGCTGTGAGCCGCCAGCTTCATCATGCGCACAGCTTGATGAAGCCTCCGTGTGTCCTCGTCGACGTCGCCGCCCGAACTCAATTGGTCGCTCCTCCCGTCCATCACGGCTTGCATGACGCGTCCTCTGAAGAGCCGACCGTATCTTTTTTATCATTCGAATGAACATGTTCCTCGGCTCCTGCTCGGTAGTCGTGCGCAATGCGTCATGTGCCATAGTAGAAAGCTCGAAAGCTCTTCGAGCTCTTGTACCTATAAAATAAAAACCGAAAGAAAATTATTATCAAGTGGATGGTGAGAAAATAAAACTCAGAAAATAATTGTATATTTTTCTTATACACTTACCAACTCTCTCTCGACTGGGCCTCTTGGTATGTACTCCTTCGGGGCTTTGTTTTCCTGAAATATCCACCGGCGAGTAATCCCCCAATACCACCGTAGGTACACACCTAGGTCAGGTGCATCAGCCCTCTCCATCACTACCTGTTCCTCCCTTAAAACCCACCTATGGATGTAATTTTGGCGAATTATTTGCCAATTAGCACGATGTGCACCTTTTCTTGGATCTCTCTCTATTCTCTCCACAGGCGCTGGAATATGTTGCCGTAGTCTAAATTGTCGAAGCACACGGTCAGGCACGTGCATTTCGACAATCTCAAAGCATATAAGGGGGACGCGAGCACGCCATACGGCCTCACCTTCTCGGCAAATATCCGGTAGTGACTCCAACACTAGCTCGTAGGGTATCCATTTGACCTATAAAGAAGATATTATGAGATATTGATTGAATATATTTAGATATTGGTAACAATTGGTCGCATAATTGAATATATTTAGATATTATAATTTTTATACCTGTTCATCCTCCATCTGATCAAGCTCATTTCTGTAAAAGTTTTCATGCCCCTTTGGAGAGGTTTGCCAAGATCTGGACACATTCCATCTATTTTATATACAACGGGTTAGTATATATTGAAATAAAGCACTAAAATTACATGCATCTTAATAATACCTGCAGCCTAACGGAATATGGCCATCGAGAGCGCGGGCCTCCCTCAAATCAGGTGTTCCCATATGCAATCGCTCCCATGACCATATCTGCAGCAAAGTGAGGCAGCCCTTCAATTCTTTATTTTGTACGAGTGCTATTTTCGTCATCTCTCTATACAAGTAGGCTAACACTGCACTCCCCCAAGATAACTCTCCACACTCTTCTAGGTCCCCAAGAAGCGGTAACCATCTCACGTGCACGGAATCCTTAGTGGAATCCGGAAACAGAATAGTACCGATCATATGTAAAATATATGCACGGGCATAGCGCTTAATGATCTCATCAGTCGCATCGATCGGTACATTCTGAAAGTTATTCCTTAACCATTCGAGTTTGATCTTTCCCCCCTTCATTGTAGGACAGTGACCCAACAATTCTTCACACGTAGTGCCATAGTGGAAGTCATCGGTGCCCGTCACTGCATCACCATCTACTCTGAGGCCAAGTATAACCCCAACATCCTGTAAGGTAATCGTCGCCTCTCCTTGGCGCAGATGGAAAGTATTTGTCTCGGGCCTCCATCGTTCAACCAATGCCGTCAAAAGTGCCCAATCAAGTCTTACCCATTTAATTTGTGAACACTCAAAAAAGCCGGCTTGACGCACATAATATTGTATCTGTGGATCCGTCAACTCCCAGCTAGAATGTGCACGGGTATGATCGACAATAGTAATACTCGGGGCCTGCATGTAGTAAACAGTGCAAATGTTTAGTAACAATCAACTACATTAAAATTTATATATAATAAAACTGCACTTTACCTCCCCAGCGGCTATCTTCGCGGATCGGTGGCACTCTTGGTCATAAAGAACATCACGTGTCAATGGACCCGCCTCCATAACTGAAATATCTGCACATATAACGATGATACATTAATTGATCTATAATTGAGTTAGAAAAAAATTGATTTTACTATAAGCATTGATTTATAAGCATTGTTTGACTATAAGCATTGATTTATAAGCATTGATTTACAAATGTATAAAATTATACCCATTAATTGCTATCTATTTGGATTGGTCGGGCAATGAGATCTTCTATGCCCGGCTTGTCTGCAATATCCACATCTATTTTTTTTCGGAGCTCCTTCCCGACCTTCATCCATAGTACCTTTTAAGCATACTGATCGTGGGCGTCCGGCTTGTCTCTTATAGCTTGGAGGCACCACATGCGGCCCGTTATAGTGTGGCCAATAACGACTATCATGTACGGGGTGGAAACACTGCTTATATGCCTCTCTATAGTTGCTTGATTGATACCACTCAGAAGCGTATGTGTAATACGAAATATTTGCACCCCCCGATTGCTTGGACGTAACCGCTATGACATGTGGACAAGGCAATTTTTGCAATTCTGGTATGTTACAGGTGCATGTGCAATGTGCACCTCCCAAATTGACGGTGTAATTGTGACCATGTTTGTCTGTAACCTCCCATTCATCTACACCAAATCTAACAATCTTCGTGCCTCTCGCCTGCTTAACTCGAGCTTCTAAAATCGCCTCATTTTTTGGTGTCAAGAACGAGGCCCACATTGCTCCATCCTCTCGCCGCTTGACAAAATAGTAATTGAGCCTATAAAATGTCCTCGCAACCAACGCCTGTATGGGCATTGCCCGAGCCCCCTTAAGTACCCCGTTGAAGCTTTCAGAACAATTGGTTGTCATCATGCAGAACCGATTCCCTCCATCTTTACTGAGTGCCCACCGGTCGACGTAATCACTGCCCAGACTTCTCTCAATCCAATCATGTGCAGCTTGAGATGTTGCCTTGATTTGATCCCGTATCCGATCATACACATATGTTTCCGACGTATAACCCGCTTGCCACAAAAGGTTTTGTAAATTAATCTGACTAAAGCTCTTTTTGAAGTTAGCTCTAATGTGTCGTAAGCAATAGCGATGATGGTGATGAGAGCCAAATCTCCTCCACAATGCTTTTGGAATACCTTTCATCCTATCAGATATGAAAGTAATTTTTCTAGGAGGCAACACATTAAAAATATATAATTGAATGCAAGAAAAAAACCACTCCCAATTTTCACTGTTCTCGACCTCCACAACGGCGAAGGCCAAAGGAAATAAGCCACCATCTGCATCAACTCCTGTAGCAACAAGCAGTACACCCTTGTATTTACCGTATAAGTGTGTGCCATCAATGCTAAGAATAGGCCGACAAAATTTAAACCCCTCAATAGAAGGCCCAAATACCCAAAAAACGGAGGTGAATTGATGAACTCCCGGATCGATCTCTTTGGTTATGAGTTTGTATTCAGATCCAGGATTACTTCTTTTGATCGCATCAAGATATTGAGCTAGTGTCGCGTAAGACTTGTCCCAATCACCAAATATTTTTGTCATCGCAATTCTTCTTGCATTCCATGCTTTAATATACGAGATTTTAATGAACTTGGTATCAAGCACTTTCTCAATTATATTATCGGGCGTTAGATCAAGCTTCTTCCTTAATTTTGGCATAATCAACCGCGCTATGTAAGAGGCAGATGCACCACTGTGATCTTGCTCTAATATTGGATTGACACATGTGTGAACACCGCAGTATTCACTGATCCTAAATTGAAAATTGTGTTTCTTTCCTGCAAATGCATATAACTTCCAAGGACATGAGTAATCAGCTTCATTTCCCTCGGTCAGACCTGTTCTTTGTGTGTTCATAAAACATATTGCATCATAACTTGTGCGATTGCTTTTAATTTGCTTGAACTTGAAATTCTTTTCGAAAGAGTATTCACGAATAGCATCAACCAATTGGTCTTTAGTCTCGAATAAATCACCAACTTTAAAGGGGGCGTCATCATCTCCTCTACGAGTTGAACTTTCACCGATGCACATATCTTTTACTGTGGAAGAACGAATCCACTCATCATCTTCAAACTCGTCGGGGGGTGGTTCTTCATACTCAACGTAGTCATTATTAACGTAAGCCTCATCAGGCCATTCCGGATTATCTTCGACATCTTGGGTAACAAATTGCATGTTATCAACTGGATTATCCGAGTCATTGCTTATTTCATCCTCTTCAATTGTTGCCCCACTTAACCTCCCCATATTTCCATAAGAGACTTCGTTATTCATGACATTTGACGTTCCACCGAATTGAGCCCGCTCCATTTCATTCGAAGAAGAAAGAAACCCATCGGAATTAACTCTCATATCTAACATGCGTGAGAATTCTCCTGGAGGTTTGAATATTTGGCACGAATTATGTGGCAACTTTTCAATAAACAATTCTACCGTTTGTTGCGACATGCCCAATTTAAACATAATACTCATATGATAATCGTTCGAGATCTCCACTGCGGATGTTCTATCAATAGCTATGGGCCAATTGCATATAATTTTCAGTCGGTATTCTCGTGGGTCAATTTCCGTAACTCGGTGTAATTCCATAACCAAGTCGTAGTAACTATATGATTCCGAGATCATTAATGGTGTCGTTACCCCTCCGACATACATTGGCATATTATTCATCCCATAATTAATTTGTCCACCATAAGAACAAGCAATAAAAATCATATTGTTCAACCTATTCAAAAGAAAATTATATCATTTAAATATAAAAAATTAAATTAATATGCAAATAATCTCACATAATTTCAACCAAAAACCCTAATTCCCAAATTGTAAATCCTAAACCCTAAAATTCAACAATTGAACATTCTATGCCCTAAAAGTTAATTACATTAATAACAATCATCATACAAACGAATTTCAGCGATAAAACCCACTAAATTCATTTATGAATGAAAACCCTAGAAATTTATTTTTAAGAAAAAATCCTAGATTTTTACATGTTAAAAGAGGAGAGGAGTAGAAGAAATTACCTAAATCAGTTTAGATAACCTTTGATTTGAATTTCGGCCGAAGAAACCTCAGATCTGAGGCTTGGTTTCGTGAGAACGTGGACGGAAGAGAGAAGAGGGAGGCGGAGAAAGAAATGGAATAAGGGTTCGGTGGCTTCGGTGGGTTCGGTGGCTTTTATATGGGCCCAGAAAGTAGTCGGGTTTCCCAACCCCGACTACTTTTGGCCTGGGCAAAATGGGCTTCGAATTGGTCGGGGTTGACAACCCCGATCATTTCGTCCCTGGTTGAGCCCAGCGGTTGCTGGGTTCTGCTAAATGGTCGGGGTTGGGAACCCCGACCAATTCGAAATAGGTCTATTACGAATTGGTCGGGGTTCCCAACCCCGACCATTTAGTTAACCTCTTAGCGGACGATAGACTAAACAGTCGGGGTTGGCAACCCCGACTGTTTACGAAGCCGATTAAAAAAAAATCGACCCGCTTTCTCGCCACGACGCTGACGTGGCGAGAAACCGGGTCGATTTCACGAAATAAAAGTTGCTACAGTCGATTTTGCTAATAAAAAGTCAAAATGTGGCTACAGTGAAAATTTGTTCTTTGAAGAATGTTAACTATTCCGTAGTAGTATGACAAGTCCCTTTCTATATAAAGTATCCAACGAGAATGCTCTATAATATTAAATGTGCATCTAAAGACTTGGATCTATGCATGAATGTCCAAATCCGGTGATTCTAAGGACCAACATTTATTTGATATACCAATGTTTTGGACACTAGTGCATTTGATGTTTTCCTCCTCAAATATGGCACTAATTAAGAGACAAATTGTTGTTAGACCCATACTATACCTTTCTCAAATTCATCATAGAGCTCAATTTCGACCAAAAGAAGCCCAACCTACTCGTTATAGAGCTCATTTATCCCCCACACCAAGCAAATTCATCGACTACACGAACAGATACACGACAAAAGAAGCACAAGATTATTACACCCCAAAACTCCGGACCGCATTAATTCTCAAATCACATTGAGATGTCTTATGAGAATCACATGACTATAAATTACCTTCTGCACTCGGTCTAAGAAGACTAACTTATCCTCTGAACTGAGGGCAAAAAAGTACAGGAGCTGTATTTACTATCTAAAATTAAGCCTGACACGAAAGTAGATATTAGCATTGGCATACATAAAAAAAAAGAGAGCAATTCATTCATCATCTCCGAAACTACATAAAAATCAGCCAATGCACTTTCATCGTGAAGAGCAGACACACTGCACAACAAAATAAGGCCGTAACCACTTATTATCCTTTGAACTGCCACTCTCTACGGCACATTGGACAATGAGGCTGTGAAGTCTGCGAGTTTACCCATTTCAAGATGCAGTGAAGGTGGAAGGAATGGTTACAGGCACCCCATATCAGCGGGCAATCGTCGCCAGGAAATTTGCAGTCAGGACAGCACCCATCGAATGCCATTCTACAGATTCCACATGTTTCATCCTGGGCGTCCCATGTCCATGAAGCCACTGCGTGCCAGTTTAGTATCTTCACCTTCATTTTTGCTGTCTGGAAACAGAAACAAGTGCACAATTCGTGGATCGTTATCATAGTCAAATATTGAAAATGCATCAAAAGTTGCTAGCTGGTGTTTTCTCCATTCTGAAAGACAAGAAGATATGCAGCTACTTATATGTGAAATCTATTCGCAATTAACCCTATGAAAATCTAATGCAGTTTCATTTGAGTTGTAGATACTTTTTTACAGTTTATCCATTTTCTTGACGAAGAATTGTAATAATATGTAACTATTGATTTATATGACTTTGATATTTTGCTCGAGTTCTTGTGTTTCTTCAGTATTATAGGGATAGAAATTTATATTATATAAAAATTAACATTAACACATATAATTTTATTGTTTATCCATGATATATTTGTATTGTCCATTTTTTAAATGTCACATAACCATTTACCTATATCCTATCACATCTGTATCATGTACTTGTACAAGTGCAACCTATAGTTTGAGAGAAGTTCCTTCATAAGATAAAATATTATCAATAGTACTAGAAACAACAAAACATTGACACTACAAGCCCGAAAACAGAAAAGAGAGATTTATATTCTAGTGGTTAGCTAATATTCCCCTTTGCCACTGCAAAATCAGTAAATCACTAATCATTTTGTATGATCATATATCTGACCTCGTGTAATGAAGTTAGCTTTATTTTTCTGAATTACTTTCAGTAAGGTATAGTTTCTCAGTTTCATTGTCATATTCAATTAGTAGAGTTTGTGTTCCTCAGAATTCAAAAGGTATTGTTTCTTGAAACTCAATTATGGGTTCCCACTCTCTCTGGCCAAGTAAAGCTAACTTTGAGTTTGCAATCTAACTTCAACTGAAATAACTTTGTTTCAGTGGATTAAATGGAAGAACTGTATAAAGATCTCCTTTGTACTTTCACATCTTCTAATATTTCTTAAACTCCAATTATAAAAAAAGCAACATCACCAACAACAAAGCCTCATTCCGAATTTGGGTCAGCTAACTACATCCTGTTTCTCCATTCAGTTCTAGTATCGATTATCTCCTATGTTAAGTTATCTATTCTTATATCCTATTAATTGTTTGCCACCAAGTTCTTTTACACTACTTTTAGTGATTTTAGTCCTTCGCCCATTAACTGTAATCTTATCATGCATTTAGTGGTATTAATTGGACCAAACCATGTCAATTAATTCTCTTATTTTTATCCTCAATAGGAGCAACCTCTAATCTTGTGCAAATTCGCTCATATCTTATCCTATCTTTTAGGATATATCAACAAAACAATCGTAACATTCTCATTTTCTACACATGTTTTTAACTGCCTAAAATTTTGATTCATAAAACATTATTGGTATCAAAGATAACCTATTAAAAGTTCCCCTCAATCCCATATAAGTATTCTATTGTCTCATAAAAAAGGCACCCCTCCATTTTTTATCATTCAGAGTTAATCTGATGAACCATGTCCTCCTCAATTTCACCATCATAATGAATGGTTGCAAGTCAAACAACTAAATCAAAATATTAGCTTCAGAACTAACAAAAAAAAAATAGCTTTAGAATGAACAAAAACAGTACAAAAAAAAGCTTTAGAATGAACAAAAACAGTTAGCTTTATAGAAAATAGACTACCACTTTGAACAACCAGACATATATCCATGATTTTAAAAAATCATGAAGTTGGTACTTTGCTTTCAAAAGCACAAGGGAGGCAAGTAAAAACACAAAATCAAACAGATTATTTTCTAGACCAGCAAATTGCAAGTGAAGAAGAACAATTGAATCGTCATTAAAATAGATGATATTTCACTGAACTAAACTGAAAATGCATTGAAGATCATGTACATAAGTCTATCACAGATACAGGTGCGACATAAACAACAATTTCACCATTGCAATGGCCAATCCAAAAAAAAAAGAAAGAAAGAAAGAAAGAAATATTCTAACTAATTATACAGTTTAAATCATAACTATGTGACACAGGATAGAAGATAACACCAAATGCGAATGAGGACAAACAATCACACATATGAAACAACTACGTACATGCACAATATGAAAATGCAAGGACTGCAGTATATGTCTCGATGAAGTGAAATCTATGAGATGAGACGATGATGAATCACATATGGAAGCACAGAAATGACAGTAACCTATTATAGTTATCAATCTCCTACTGCTCTATAGAAGATATAGAAAGTATCAATTGTGTAGAGATCACATGAGGGGAGTGAGGAACACACACCCAAATGTCTTAGGTGTAAATCAAGTCTGAAGTTGAAGGATCCTTGCACATGCCCGAAGGACAACCACCAGAATAGAAGCAACAGCTGATCCAACAATAACAATTTGATGTTTATCAAGCACCTAAGGATAAATCACATACAATCAATTCCAGAATCATACCTAATAACAAGGAATAATCTATGCTGGATGGAAATAGAGTTCAAAAGCTTCAAGCAGAACCTGGAAAGGTTCTCAAAGCTCTTTACAGGAACAGTGAGCTTGGAGAGCAAGAGCTGAGCGTCCGAAGCTTCAGATCGAAGTTGTTAAAAGCTGCTTGACAAAGGCGAGGAACTCTAGAGGCTGCTTATTGTCAACAGGGCTTGCTGTTGTTAGTGAGAGAATGCGAGAATGCTTCCCGCGTGAGTCAAGCGTGGCACAAACTCAGATAGAAAAGAAGCAAACAATTGTTGATGGCATGAGTTTGATGACATTACGGTTTCTTTGATGTAGGACTGAGATTAGTAGCTCAGATTGAAGGCTGAACTTAAATAATTTAGAAGATGCTTCACACCTGAGGTGAGGAGTACAAAAAAAAAAAAAAGCCAACAACAAAGCAATCTAACAATTTCAACCACCAAGAATAATCTACAATGGCAATATTCATTATTAAGAAATTTATTATTTAACATACAAAGAGGGACTCAGAATAACTTAAATAATAGGGTCCAATGGATTGATTAAGTCCATAGATTTTAACCACGTTATAGGTTTAAATCAACAAGTTGCATCTACTGTGCTTGCAAAAAAAGGGCTTCATCTTCTAGATTTCTTCTTCAAAATTTCGTTTTGAGAAAAAATATAATCAAAACTGACTCAGATTGTGCATAAATTTAAAAGCTTCGCTCATTAATTTGAAGAGAAACAGAATATTCGAAAACAATCATAATATAACTCCAGTATGTTGAAATCTCGAACAAAGATCAAAATAAGCACCAAATTCTCAATTGACGTCAGGGGGTAGAGAGAGAGAAAGTACCTCTCGAAAACGCCGGCGATAGTTCAGTGGGCTCAGCGTCTTCGACTGGATTAGGAGAGAGCTGCTCGAGGGTTTGCTCATTCAATTTCAGCGCCTCGTCATAAAATCTCTGGGCTTGGCCCTTTTTTTGGTTATTTGCACTTAAATACCACAAAGTTTACCTTAATTTCTTGACTTTATACCCTCAAGGCCATAGTTTGTTTGTACGTCAATGTTTTTTGTTTGTCTAAAGTACATCAAACTTCAAAATAATTAGCTTTGATATCCCAAATTTAAATTTTTTTTATATGTTTATGATATCAAAGTTTAATTTGTGTTAAAGTTTAGGATATCAAAGTTCAGCTTTGCTGCACTTTGGAATATCTTTTGGGAAATTATAGCTTGGAAATGTCAAAAGTAAAAATAAGCTTTGGGCCTTGGAGATACTTTTTGGGTGAAAATTTTTGGTTATCAAACTTAAAAATAACTTTTGGTATAGCAATAATTTTTACATAAGCCTTTACATAATGAATCAATTGCAATGCGGTCAGGATTTTTTTAGCAAATGCTCCGGTGTGCTTACTTTCTGTAATTTCACAAAGTAACGAATGCTGTGATCACTATGAAAAGGGTAAGGCTTACCTAGATATTAATTTTTCACAATTCCATATTAGTCCCTCAACTCTTTGAAATTGGTCATTCATCTCTCAAATCTTAAGGGGCGTTGTAATTTGGTCCCTAAATGACCAAAATACACATAAACTAATTCTTTTTAGCAAGAGGATTTCTGGGGGAAATGTAAAGGGGGTAGTTTGGTTATTAAGGAACCAAATTGCTAGACTCTTTAGGAATTTGAGATACTTGTAGAAAGAGAAGATTGAGAGAGCAAAAAACCCTAACTTCATTGATTTATTCAGATACTAGAGATATATATATATATATAGTCATACAAATAGGGGTATGGTTAACGGGTCACAGCCCATTAACCCAATACCCAATAGACTTAATCTAACACTCCCCCTCAAGCTGGAGCATAAATATCCACCATGCCCAGCTTGTCACATATAGTAGAAAACACATTTGAAGAAGTAGCCTTGGTAAGAATATCAGCAAGTTGTTGTGAGGACGGAGTGAATATGAGAGATACTATCTTCTTCTCCCAAGCATCTCTGACAAAATTGCAGTCAACTTCAATATGTTTTGTCCTCTCATGAAACACAGGATTCTGTGCAATATAAATGGCAGACTGGTTGTCACAATGCATTGGCATGGGTCTAGGCTGAACAAAACCAAGCTCTGTCATAAACTTTCTTAGCCACACCATCTCACAAGCAGTGTGAGCCATTGCTCTATATTCGGCCTCTGCACTAGATCGTGATACTACATCTTGTTTCTTACTTCTCCAAGTCACAAGATTACCTCCAACAAAAGTACAAAATCCTGAGGTTGACTTTCGGTCTCCCATGTCTCCTGCGTAGCCAGCATCAGAGAAAGCCGAAATGTGAGTATGTCCATGCTTCTTATATAACAATCCTTTGCCAGGGCAACTCTTGACATATGCCAAAATCTTCAGAGCTGCTGTCCAATGAACCTCTCTAGGTTTGTGCATAAACCTGCTCAGTACACCTACTGCAAAAGTAATATCAGGTCTGGTAACTGTCAAATATATTAGCTTCCCAATTAGTCTCCTATATCGTCCAACATCATCTAGGAGAGATATATCATCACGCCACAAATCAACATTTGCCTTCATTGGAGTTCTTGCAGGTTTGCATTCCAAGAGACCTGCTTCTTCTAGTAAATCTAGCACATATTTCCTTTGGGACAACAACAGGCCATGTTTTTTATATGCAACTTCAATCCCAAGAAAATACTTTGGCTTTTCCATGTCCTTAGTGACAAAATAACGGTTTAGATACTCCTTAGTCTCAGCTAAGGCAACAGATTCACTCCCAGTCAGCAGAATATCATCAACATATACGGCTAAAATAAGCAAACCAGTTGTTGTGCGTCGAAGAAAGACAGAGTGATTAGACTGACAACGTTGAAAACCAACATTAGAAATAACCTTGCTGAACTTATCAAACCAAGCTCGAGGACTCTGCTTTAACCCATAGATGGCCTTTCTCAGCCTGCAGATAAGATTCTCCCCCTGAGCAACATACCCAGGAGGTTGCTCCATATAAACCTCCTCGTCCAAATCACCATAAAGGAAAGCATTCTTCACATCTAGTTGGTGCATCGCCCAATCCATATTAACAGCCAGAGAGAAAAGAATTCTGATGGAGTTGAGACGAGCAACGGGAGAAAAGGTTTCAAAATAGTCAATACCATATGTCTGGGTATATCCTTTAGCAACCAGGCGAGCTTTATATCTATCAACAGACCCATCAGGACGATATTTCAAGGTATACACCCATCTGCAGCCAACCACAGTCGCTCCAGCAGGTAGAGAGACCAAATCCCAAGTCCCTCTAGAAAGCAGTGCATTCATCTCCTCATCCATAGCCTGTTTCCAGACGGGTACTAACAAAGCTTCCTCATGTGACCTGGGTAAAGATTTAGTGGACAATGACAAAGCAAACTGACGAAATGATGAGGTGAGACAGTCATAAGAGACAAAAAGAGAGATAGGATATTTTGGGCAAGATCGTTTACCTTTACGAAGAGCAATAGGAACATCTAAGTCAGAAGAGATATGAGGCTCGACATGAGATGGACCTGCAGCTGGAGAAGAAGAGTCAGCAGGAGCAGAGACAGGTGTATGTACTTTAGGACGGCGAGAGTATGTCAGTAGAGGCTTTGGTGCAGTAGCCACAGGAGCAGATACCGGAATAGTAGTGGGAGCCGTAGAAGGTAGTGGCACCTGTGGACTGACAGAGGTAGTGGAACCAGAGGAAAAATATGGGACAGACTCAAAAAAGGTAACATCAGCAGAAACAAAATATCTCCTGGTGTTTGGATGATAGCACCTATACCCTTTTTGAGTACGTGAGTATCCAACAAACACACACTTAATGGACCTAGGAGATAATTTATCCAAACCAGCAGTCAAATCCTGAACAAAACACGTACAACCAAAAACTCGAGGAATCACAGAAAAACGTTTTTTAGCAGGATAAAGACAGTGGAATGGTATCAAACCATCAAGAACAGAGGAAGGCATGCGATTAATCAAATAACAGGCAGTGAGGACAGCATCCGACCACAAGTACTTTGGAATATTCATATGTATCATCAGTGTTCTAGCAACATTGAGAATATGTCTATTCTTCCTCTCAGCAACTCCATTTTGTTGTGAAGTGTGAGAGCATGAAGTTTGATGAATAATACCATTAAGAGCACAAAATTTTGAAACGTCATTTTTCATATATTCTAAAGCATTATCAGTACGAAGAATATGAACAGAAGTAGAGAACTGGGTTTTTATTTCATTGTAAAAAAGTTCAATAACATGCGAGACTTCAGACCTCTCTTTCAACAAATATAGCCAAGTCATGCGAGAGAAATCATCAACAAAAACAATAAAATATCCGGCACACTGTCGTCCAAATAGTACATACCTCCTCTCTCTCATGCCCCGAACCAATCGTCATCCCAGTTGCTAGGTCCTGAAAAACACAATAAGAAGGAAAGAAGGTGACTTTACAGTTATTGTGCTTTGTAAACTTGCTAATGGATAATAAGCTAACAGGGAATTTAGGAGCATATAACACATCAGTGAGTTTCAAAAAGGAAGTAGCATGAACTACTCCAGCACCAAGAACTGGAGAAAGTGTACCATCAGCGATGCGAATAGAGGGAAACTTATCAGAAAGATGTAAAGAGACAAAACGATCCTTTATACCTGTCATATGGGATGAGGCTCCGGAATCTAGTACCCATGGTTCATGAGGAGAAGCTATGTAAGCATCCATACCTGAAGAGGATGCATGAGTAGCCGAATGATTATTCTGAGAGAGCTCTAGCTGGCGTAACCTCTCATAATCTGCCTGAGAAATCTGAACAGTAGGAACAATAATAGCTGGATCACTAGAAATAGTAGTAGAAATAGGTGAGCGAGTCGACTCGGCATCGGCTACTTAGGCCCATTGAGGGCGACCAAACTTCTCCCAGCACTTCTCAGAGATATGATTGGTCCTCCCACAGTGACCACACTGACGTGAACCCCTATCAGAATCACCCTGTCTCCCACTAAAAGAGCCACGTCCTCCCACAGAATCACGACCACGACCACGACCGCGGCCTCTGCCTCTACTAGAGAACATGGCAGACTGATCCACTGAAGGTGGAGACGGTGCAGAAGTATTAGAAGAAACACCAGTAGAGACCTGCATGACTCTGGAGAATGTAGCAGTCAGTGAGGGGATTGTATCTCCACCCAATATCTGTCCTCTCACCTGGGACTGCAAGTTAGGGTGCAATCCAGAAAGAAACTTGGACACTGCCAAGTCACGGCGATATCCCAACAGCGTCGCCGCATCAGCTACTGCAGGCTGATGCATCTCCAGTTCGTCTATCAGTCCCTTTAACTCACCAAAGAACTCCGGAACTGACCTATCTCCCTGTTTGAGCGCAAACAGTCGCTCATAAATCTCAAATACACGGGAAGCATTCTTCTCATTCCCGTACATAATCTTCAGGCTGTCCCACATCTCCTTCGCAGTGGTTAAGAACATAACATTGCTACTAATCTGTGGTTCCGTGCTGTTGAGGAGCCACGTCATAACACAATAATCAGACGAGAGCCAGGAACTATAGGTGGGATCTGTGGTGGGTGGAGGAGAGGCCAGAAGATGTGGAAGTTTGCTCTGAGCGCCAATGAAGATGCGGAAAGCCTGAGCCCAGAGCAGATAGTTTGTACCATTAAATTTTATTGTAGTCCCCAAGACTACCTTGGGCGCAGAAGTCTGACCAGCAGCAGCAGAGGGAGATGTAGAAGAGGAGGAGAGATCTGTTTCCGACATTGTTGCACAATAGTGGTAGGCAGCTAGTAGTCAAATAGTCAGGGCAGTAGTAGAGATCTGTCTTTAAACATAGACTAAGAGAAGATCAAAAATGATCGGATCGGGTCATGTGTGGCCTCGAATCACCTATTC